AGCACTGCAAATTCACAGATGACTGCACTTGTTAAAACCTTAAAGAACACAAAAACAATTGTCAACCATGAAGACACGCTTGAGGTATGGCATTGCGATGGAAATCATAGCAGTCAGAGAATCGTGCTGGTGTTGAACTATAAATTTGTTACTCTGAGAGACAGCAATGAAAGTTTATGTTGACGATAGCAGAAAATTACCATCCATAAGTGCTGTAAGTACAGATGGTTGGCAACATTTTTTTACTTCAGACTGTTATAAGTAAAGGCTGAAGTATCTAATTAAAAGTTCATAATGAAACGATATATGAATTTAAAGAAAAAAACAAATCCAATAAGAAGTCATGAATTCTTTTTTTTTATTTAGGACATGTTTGAGACTTGTGACAAAATCTGGAACTTGTCAGTTAACTAGTTGTCAGTCATAAGTAAAATCTGTACCCCCCCCCCCCCTTCATTTCTCATCCGGGGTTTTTGTTTTGTGTGTGTAAACAGTGGAAACGTGTATGTGATGCTTTCATTGACAAGTTGTAGTTGCTACTAGCTTTTTCTGCACTAGCATGTTCCTACTTCTAAATACTATATGAAAATTTTAGTTTTGACATTTTTCTTTAATTAAAAACAAAATTTCAGAAGATCATATTTGTTATCTAACCATTGTGGTAGCAAGTCTATGAAGTTGGCTGTATGCCAGTAAGTAAATGAGACAGCAATGGGTAGTCCATTGGGGAGAGATACTGAATTTTTTACTTCCATGGGATAATCTGCTGGTAACTCTGTTACAGTTGAACCTAAATATCTAAACTTTGCATGCGTATAAGTTCTTCAGCACTGATATAAAATCTAGGGGAAAAGGAATTGTGATAGGCAGCAAACAGTTGTCTGTTCTGATTGCAAGGAATAGGTGTTTGGTAAGACGACTTTGCCATCTGTTACATAGGTTTTATAGCATTTCTAAAAGGAAGCATGCTTACTAGAAAGAAATTTTAATTATAGGAAAGGATTCCCCCCCTCCCCTCT